GCACAGCCTGGCGATGCCAGCCGCGGGCGAGCAGTGGTTCGCAGTTATGGTAAAGGCAAAAAATGGGTGCAAAAAGGGACTAGGCCCGTGGGGAGGGTCCGGCTCAGCCTGGCCACCCAGGGGTAACGCAGTGCGGGTCTGGCCATCCTGGGAAGGGTGTCTGGCTGGGGACGGGTGCCCGGCAATCTTTGGTGGGGCTCCCCGCTGCCATACCACGCCGGCTGGGCTGCCAGGTTTTGCCTCGCTGCTTCGCACTACTTCAGGTAAGTTGTAGAGAATTTTTGGTTTGATGTTATTGATATAAAATTATCCCCAAAGGATCCATAAGGACCTAATGAGCTGCTTTCAAGTGAGCTGGCACATGGTGGGCACTGCTCCCTTCCTGATACCGGGTGCGTTAAATCTATCCCGTGGCCCCTGGAGCTCCCATCCTCCGTGAGGATGGGGACTTCAAACACCCAGACCCACAAGATGCTATTTTTCTAGGTCCAGACTAAAATGCCGTTGGCACTGAAAGAACTAAAGTTGTTCAGTTTTGCACTAAGCCAGCGGGGCTGCCCCGGGGATGCCAGCGGAGCTGGCTGGCCTGGAGGTACAGAGGGTTATGGCTTCAGGTAAAAGCTTCTGTTTGTTTGATGCAAATGTCACTGTGCGTATTTTCTTTAACCTTTTGTTATTTTATGTTTTTCTACAGTCCAGGCCTTTTAGCCCTCCTATTCACTCATCCAGCCCTCCTCCGATAGCACCTTTAGCCCGTGCTGAAAGTACTTCTTCCATATCTTCCACCAATTCCCTGAGTGCAGCCACCACTCCCACCGTTGGTAAAAACATACAGCACTGCTGTTCTTTCACCTTTCCTACCTCTGAGCATCCTTAAAAGATTCCTGAAACCTTTTCATTTGCTAGATTGTTCTTCAGGTTCACGTTCATTAACTTTCATCAGTTTTTTAAATGCAAAAAGGGATTTGAGGGGGGTGTGATGGATCGCAAACATGATGCTGCTAGGGAAGCTTTGTGGCAGCTCCAAATGTTGTGCAAAATGAATGTTTGGTGAAGGTAGAGGTTATTACCAAGTGAAATATAATATAGAATGTGCTTATGGTCTGTAAATTTGGTTAAAATAAGCTTTTTTTGCAGGGGATGTCTGTACCCTGGAGGGGAGGGGGGCTGGAAGCCAGACCTTGGGATCCAGAAGACAACTAATATTAAATCTCTTTGAATGTCTTAAATTTGTACTTCCCCTTAAAGCGGTAGTGGGAAATGAGGCCTTGGAAAAGGCTCTTCCAAACTCTTAGCTTAACGCATCCTAGACCAGACAAAGTGCTGCAGTTTTCTTTTGGAGGAATGTCCTGAAAAACATGGGTTTTGCTAAGCCCTCCAAGTGCCCCCAGGGCCTGAGACAAGAAATGCAAATAAAGTCTGGCTGGCAGCTCCCAGGCTCCATGAGCTGGGTCCCCCATGCCTCCCTCCTCCGTCCCCTCCTCCCAGCTACCGGCGCTCGCTCCTCCGCCATCCCTGCCATCTCACCCGGCTGCCAGCCCCACCGCACCTTGCTTCCCGCAGCTCCATCTTCAACCAGGAGCATCCCTCCTCCTTTTTTCTTTTTCTTTCCATGTTTTTTGTGATGAGCACGCCTGGTTTGCGTGGCAGGGAAGGAGCTTTGCAGGCCACGGCTGGCTTAGGCTGGCTGATGGGCTCTGCGGAGGGAGCTAAACCCCAACCCTCTGAAAAAAACCAAACCTGGCTGGCATTTGCGTGTGCTCAGCCCTTGTCCTGGCTGCAGCGTTTCCCACCTTACGAGCCATGGGGAGCGGCAGCATCGCCACCCCGACACCATCTTTGATGGCTAGAAGACGACAGGATGGCCTAAGGCGCGCGGCGGGTGCTGGCCCCATGGTGCCGGTGGCCACGCGTGCCTCCCTGAGCCCTCCCTGTGGGTTTGCTGGAGTCTCCGACCTGCGTCTCCATCCTGTTGTTTGCTTCACTCTTGAGATGTGGTAGATGCTTGTACCTGTTTGCCGGCTGTTGGTCACCGTCAGAGCATGCTGCTGGAAAAAAAAAATGCATCTCAAGCAAGGGTCCAGCCAGCCCTGAGCATCCCTGGTGTGCTGACTGTCGGTCCTGTCTGTGCCCACTGTCCTGCAGCTTTGGCAGCGAGCCGCTGTCGGTGGGGCTGGCAGTGGCCTCAGCCGGAGCCTGCGGGCATGGTGGCCATGGGGTGCCTGGGGCCACAGTGGTAAACACAATTTTGGTGGAGGGGAGCAGCCAAGCTGAAGACAGGGACGGTCGTGGGGGCTTCAGGAGACCAGGAGAAGTGGCTATGAAATGGTGGCTGCGTGCAGGTCCTGTAGGCTGAGCAGGTGATGGGTGTCTTAAGCTCTCATTTTGGTCTTTTCTCCTCTCTCTAACACATAATTTTGTGAACAACATTGCTTGATGCTTTTAATGACCTACCCACCCTGAGCAGCAGAGGCTGATGCGGCTGGAGGGGGGGGGCGGGGAGGCGGGGCTGGCCCCAGCGGCTCCCACCCTCTCTGCAGGGGCTTTCCTTGAAAGAGAGCCAAAATCAGGGCTCTCAGCTCACCCCTCAGCAGGGGGACACTGAACAGGCTAGCCAGGAGGAGCACCACCTGGTGCAGGTGTGCACTTCCAGCTCCATGCAAACTAAGTGTCAGATGCCGTGTTGCCAGAATTTGGCCTGGGAAAAGCTGGGCAGGGGGCAGGCAGGGGCAGACGAGGTTTGGGAGCTGCTCTGGGAAAGCCCAAGCATCTCCCTGTTGTCGCCACAAAGGCAGCCGGGGTGAAGGTGAGCACCGGCGCTGGGCGAGCAGTGGTCACCTTACTGCACCAGGTTGCAAACTATCATGGAGGAGAGAGCACTTCTAATTCCTGGGTTTGTCATGCAGAAAGAGAAAAAGGTGAAGTGAAAGGTGTGCAGGGCAGAGGAGAGCCGGGAGCAGGGCTGCATGGGCAGGGACGGGCAGGTCTGTGTGCACAGCAATGGGTTGGGTACCACTGAGGGTCCCGTGGGACCGGCACGGGGCTGGGACACCCTGACCTGGCTGGGGCTGCCCACAGCCCTCGGCTTGCCACCGGGTCTGTCTCCGCCACGCTCTCCGTCTCTTGCTTCCTGTGGCAAAGTCCGATGGAGTTTGTCCAAGAGCATGTGGAAGAATTATTTCATTTGTTTGTCCTCCGTGCTGTTCTGGTTTGCTTTCGTTGCGGTTGCATGTGCAGTCTGAATAATTTATTGCAACGAAAGGAGCTGTTATTTCCGTGTCAGCGCCCCTTCTGTTATTTTTCTCATTAAAATCCTTCTCTGTCTTTTTTCATTGATACAGTGCGCTGCTTGATTTCATTTGGGATTCGTTTTTTTCATTTTTTTTTTTTTTTTTCTTTCCTTTGCGTTTCTTTTGCTTATGTTATCAGAAGATGATGCTTTTATTGACAAACTGCCTACGTTCGAAAGGCGCTCTGAAACGCCTGCAGGTACCGTGCTAGCAGGGCACTTTCAAGACATCTGGCTTCGGAGCGGGTGGCTGCGGGCACCCTGAGTGCCCGCGCCCTGGCACCCACTGCTCGCAGCACCTTGCATGACAGTTTCTCAGTGACAAAAAGGACCATGAGGTGAAAGGCTATCACCTCCTGGATTCACAAAGGTTAATTTAACAGCTCAAAAAGCTGGTTTTTTCCCCCTACCCCTAGTTATTTCAACAGTACCTGGTGTCTAACGTGGCTTTTGAGGCGGTGTGAGTGTGGGGCGCTGGTGGTCATAATGGGACAGCAAAAATTCCAGCTAGGCATCTCCTGCTCTCTGTGCGTGTGTCTGTTTATCTGCAAGTTTTATGTCCTGAAATGCAACACAAAATACCTACGTTTCACTGTCACTTATTTTGCACACCGGTGTGGCATGCGGTTGGCAGCATCCACCGGGGGAACGCTCGCTGCTGCTCTTGCAGCACGGCAGAGGCGTCGCTGGAGATGAAGAGGATAAGGCGTGTTTGCCAAAGTCAGAAAATGCTAACGGAGTGCGTGAGCGGAGAAGCCTCTTCTACTCTAGACAAAAAAAGAGAACCCCCCCCAAAATCCTTACCAAGCGGGCAAAAGCACTCTTCCATCTGGGCTTCCATAGCTTTGCTTTCTGCTTTCTGTTTCCTAAGCCAAAGCCAGAGTTTCAAAGCCCCCCCTTTCCTTGCACGTGAACAGCTTGCAGCGCCTCGTCCCCTCCTCATAGCGAGTTAAATGACCTGCTCTGTGACTCACACTGTGTCCTTCTCTCTCCCTCTCCTTAACCTTTCCCAACCCGCTTCAACTCCTGGCCATACAGAGAATGAACAGCCTTCCCTCGTTTGGTTTGACAGAGGAAAGTTTTATTTGACTTTCGAAGGTAAGTAGTGCATAGCATACCCGGTAACGACTTGCTCCCCTTGCTCTTGCTCTCTGACTCCCAGGGTTTCCTTCAAAGGCTTCAGTCCGGCTTTCCGTGCGAAATGCTATGGCTACTTAGACAACATCGCAAGTTCGACCAGAATAATTTCGATTTGATTTGTGCCATTTGTCCCAACAATCTGTTTCCCTGATTCTTTATTTAAAAAAAACCAAACAACCAAACAAACCAAAACTCAAAAGAATGTTCTCATACCGAGACTGCGGTGAAAACCAGAGAGCGAAGCCACTTGCACTGCCGAGGAACTTGACTCTGTCAACCAGGGCTTCTTTCTACTCTCCTTCGCAAGCTGCTCGTGACCCTGAGTGGGCTGTGGCACAGTGCAGTTAATTAAAAACCAAAGAGTGAGGGGTTCTCCACCAAGCTGGAGCCCCCTCCCCACCTCCCATCAGATTTTTCTGTGCAAGGGGTTGGGAGCGTGCCGGCACCACCAGCAAGCATAGCCGAAATGCCACCAGGTTGTGCTGCCGAGGTGGCTGCTCGGAGGTGTTGCAGGTTTTGGGGTCCCTCGTTGATGTGAAGGCACACTGGGGAGGATGCAGGGGGAGAAGAGCTCGTTTTGAGGTGGACGGCAGCTTCTCTGAGCAGCATCATGTCTTGGAGAGGGCTGAGGCAGGGGTGCCTGGGTGGCCAGCCCTGCTCCAAGAGCCCTGCGGCTTTGGAGGAAGCCGTATCTCACAGACACCGTTCTTTAAAAGAAAAGCATGGAGGTTCGCTAGCAGCAGGGATAGGTGCTTTAAAACCCGAAGGAAGTGCTTTGAAGCTGTTGTGGTGCTTGCAGGCAGAGCCAGGCTGGGGCTAGCTGGGGGATGCTGCTGGCATGGGGCATGCCGGAGCACGGTCCCCGCGGGTCTCGCTTTCTGTGAAGCGTGTGATCTGTGTCCCCTGCAGCAAATAGCTGAGTGGCCCAGGATTGCGTTGCCTGGCTGCTGAGCGCGGGATGTTGGTGTTTATGGAGCAAACCCCATTTTGGTGAACATGATAGCAGAAGGCAGGGACGGCTCTGATGGTGGCCAGGGGGATTGGTTTCTTCTTTCCTGCCTTCTTGCCATTTAATCAGCCACAGATGCTGGGCCCTGAGGTCCCTGCTCCAATGACAGCTCCCAGCTTAGATCTGGAAGGGGGCTGGGGAGGAACTGCTTCAACCTCATCCTCATTGCAGTTTTGCTGTTTCCAGCAAGAAACCCTTCCTGGGTTTCCTTTCCCAGGTGCCAACCGCCTGCCCGGAGCTTCAGGAAGGGCTGAGCACGGCAGGGCAGGGGCTGGCGAGGGCTGTGCAGGCTGACTGCTGGGTCGAAGCAGCCGCCTTCAAGCGTTATCCCTCAGTACGTGTACCCTGGCACTGCGCATCCCCACCAACCTCCTTGCTCCGTGTTTCCTCCTCCCCCTTGCTCGGCCTTGCACCAGCACCGCAAGCACATCTAGTGTGTGTGGGGGGTTCTTGTGGTTTTGCATATTAACGTTTTTGAATGGTATATTTGAATTATTGTACTTTGTTATGGCAGCGTGAATAGTTTAGAGGCGGGAGGTGGTGGTCCTTGTCCAGGGTTACGCCGGCCAGCACGGCAGCAGGGCTGCAGGAGCATGGCACTAGTTCCAGGCATTGGTTCCAGGATCATCTCGCGTCCTGGGAAGGAGCTATCTCGCTTCCACACACTGTATTTCATCTATCCCTAAAGCTTTGAGTCCAACTTTAAAAAAAGGAAAAAGCTAAACTTCAATGCTCATCCCTAGGGAGGCGAAAAGAGATCTGCTGAGTTGGGCATTTGTAATTCAGGTCATGAAATGCCAGAAGATAAATGATCTTTTGTTTCTGGAATTGGGGTTTTTTTTGTGGAGATCCATGTAATTAGCAGGGTGTGGGGTAGTTTGTGTGTGAAAAGCTGTGGTGCAGCTTTGGTGGTGCTCTCCTGCATCCACGGGCAGAGCTGTGCACCAGGATCACAGGTACTCAGCTGGCCT